CCCCAAATCAAGTAGGGTCAAAACCCAATAGACAAGAGAATCAAGAACCATATTAAAAATGGCTTCCTAGTTCGTACTTAACACGGACAAGTTCCATAATTCAAGACGAACTACAAATCCAAAGTCAAGATGGCAAAAGATCCGAATCAAGAGGCATGCCAAGATGAGTGACAAAGTCACTGCCACAAGAAGGACAAAGTCCCAACAAGAATGCAAAATGATCAAACAATCCGTACGAATGAGCGATTTAGCAAATATCTTACAATACTTGATATAGTACGAATATAACAATATAAATTGAAGCCAAGAAAAATAAAATATCAAGTTATTTCAATATATTCCAGCAAGCAAAAAGAGTACAAGTTTATACACAAACCTTGGTGTTTTACCACGAAACAGTTCAATCACAACTTGGGGACGTTCGAATCGTCTACGCCGTAAACAAACCAAATCTGTCCACTCCCTCAAACACTTCCCCTTTGATTTTTTTTCAAGGGTTTATATACCTTAAATACATAATCAAATATCTAAATAAGTTCAGTGATTTAGCAAGTCAAACTAAATATGATATTGGTGAAAATTACTCAAAAAAGTTTGAAACAGAAATTCTGGAAAGTATCACTGTTCCGAGTTGTGACTCAGTTTTGAAGATCTAGACTTTCTGGTCTTCACAAAAGTTGTAGATCTATGTCTTACTGTTTCAAAATATCTTGCATCACCTCCATATCAATTTTGAACAAAAAGTTATGCTAAAATTACTAACAGCAGTACATGGAGTATTTCTAAAACTGAAAATCTGGACAGCACCTGCCCTGTATTTCTGATCCTTTTTCAGGTAAATACCTACAAACATAGATTTTGGTTCCTTCATAAGAGTTATAGATTTATGAAATACCTTTTCAGAAAGTCCTGGATCACTTAAATTGGAGCTCTGTACAAAAAGATATGTAGATAATTCTAGTAGGTGTCTAGTATAAAAACAAGTTTAGAAACTTACCAAGAGGAGCAACTTGATCTTCACCAAAAATGAAATTTGCTTGTTGATTTAGTAGAACTCCATGGTTTTTTTTTCATGAAACTTCAGATTTTCAAGTTTCTACGGAGGAGAGATATAGAGAGAGATAGAGAGAAGGAGGGATAGATAGAAAGAGAGAGATGTATTCTTTGTCTTGAAGAGTAGAAACAAAATGGTTACCCAACCACTAAATATTCTTAGATAAATACAAAAGGTTGGAAACCAAAACTTAATTATATATTAT